TATGTATAAAAATCCACGTACATGAATATATCTTAATTAATTAAAAATTCAAGCCAAATTTTTGCTTGAGTTTCAAATCGCTATTCGCTCAAAAGTCAATCATTGAATAAAAATAAGTGAAGACAAAGTGCCAACTATTCTATTTGTTCTAGAATACCAGATAACAAAGAGATAATTTTTCAATCATGCGTTTACCTAGTCAATAATTAAGTTTGTTATCCAAATATAGATATGTAATTTAAAGTCTTAAGCCACTACACAATATGCATATGAATGCATAGTTCTGGACTTTTGGCGTGATAATGAATAAACGAAATACTCGATTTGTCGCGTTGTAATGACAATAGAAAGAAAGACATTGCAAAAATTATATAATTATTATAATAAATATAAATAATAAAAATAGTTTGAGGTACCCGATGTAATCGCATATCAGCATTCAAAGATAAACGTTTTCTTTAGAATGTTACTTACACTGTTCGAACGTGAATACATACTTGCATTACTCATATATGACGCATCATGGGGATTACACAGCTCTAAATCATTTCTTTCTTTTTTCCGAATATCTCGCGACAAACTTGCTATGTGATGTGCGTAATTTGTACCAATAAACAGCGAACGGATAGAGAAAATTAGATTTAATTTCCATATATATATATATATATATTCTTTTTTTTATATGAAGAAATAATTATTTTAATTTTCTTACCGCGGCAGTGGTATCGCTAACGACGAAATCAGCCGGTACTGCTTCTGTATTCGCGTGTAAAACGAAGAACGCTATCAGATAGATGTTGATTCTTTGCCGTTGTAAAACGATTTCGGTCCACCTCGTCATATTTTCGACGACTGTTTTCAATTCAACTCGTGCTTAAGCTGGATTTCCGCTAAGGAATTAATCACCGTGACTTTCCCGCCCGTAGACAGCGTCAGTATCCTCTTCCTTACACCCCTTTAAAAAACACTGAATACACACGTGCTTCTCGAAGACACCCCGAAAATCGCAATGTCGGACGATGTCAGATGATAAGGTGATAGGTATACTTTCGATTAGCCTCTTGTTTAGATAAATTATCGGCATGTACGAGCTATTGGATTCTCAACGTTACTTCTCGCGTTAATTCTACTACTACACGCGAAAAAAAACAATCTCTCTACAACCGTTTCCACCGTAGTTCTCGATAGAGTACCACTTGGCAGGGTGGTGGTCTTTAACGTGGTTGCCACAACACTATCGATCTCGTAGTGTTTTCTTCGCCTGATGATTCGCCTCAGGGTTCTTTCGCTCTGTTGCTCCAAATGTAACTCCTCAGCGTATTCATATGCACCTCGTTCGATTTTCAGTCCGACAAAGACCTCCCTCTTCTTGATTTGCAGAGATGGTCCGTTTCGATGAACTCGAAATCGAGAAGCGATGGAAGACGAAGAAATAAAACCAGAGAGAAATAATAGAGATCAATAGTAAAATTGGAACGAGTAAGGATGGATCATGGACTGATGATCCACGTCAAAGGAGAGTAGAGCCGATGAAAAACGCGCGGGTACGCGGTGTTACTCTATCCGGAGTCCACCGCTACTCTGACTCGTAATCAGTCTGCTACTGACTTTTATCGAGATCTCCCACCATAGCCGCGATAGCCACGGTCACCAATCGCGCACCACGACGCTTCTACACGTGCAGGTACATGTTGCAGCACTGCCGCCTTTGCCTGCACGATAGTTAGTCAGATTGGGTGCAAAGGACAACGTTTCAGGTTTTAATTTTCCTTGATAATATTCCCTTATCGTAAGAGATTCGTTCGCCAGAGAAATCTTCCCTTATTTATCATATGACATTCAATATTTATCATATCTTGCAATCGCATTTTTTTTCTATTTTTTTTAAATCAAGGAAGATTCTGACTCACATTAATCACGCTACCTTTCCCTAATGATCTATTTTTAGTTTATCTTCGATTAAATGATTAAGATAAGTATTAATTCTAATGTTTGTGAAATAGTAAAATATTTTATTAGCGTTATTACTCTTTTTTTAATTATGAGAGGATAGAGAATTCATGATTCACGTAAATAATGCAGTCGATATCTCTGTGTAATATTCCAGTACACAATATATTTAAATTTAATATTATAGAGTTCTCTTTTCCATGGAGGAAGGAAATTATATCTCAAGAGAGTGTGGGTAACTATGTGACTCATTCGGATTTTAGACTGCTTTTCGTTCCCAAGAACTCCTTTAACGATGCCGACGACCGCAGACTTGATCCCAAGCCGGGATTGATGCATGAATTTCACATGTAGATAAACCCCTGAGATTAAGTAATTTTTCAATGGCATATCTGTCTGCACATTAACTCTGACAGTTGCAACATTTACGATATTTTAAAATATTTATTGCATGCGCGAGAGAGAATTTTTTTTAATTAATATGTAGTAAGATTTTGTCAAAATAATAGACGCCGATAAACGACGCCCATATTCGCAATTACATATTCTTTTTTTTTTAAATGCCCTATTTATCATCTGAACAGTCCATCTTTACACATCGTAGAAGCAAAATGCTTTCACTCTTTTAGTTATCGGTACTACAAAGGATATTTATGTATATTAACTGAAAAGACGCGAGTCTCGCGGAGACGAAACTTGAATGTAAATGGCTGAGTACATTGAACGAATGAGTAAGCATCAGACTTTTTTGGTGCCCAGTACTGCCGTTCTGCATTTCATCTCTCAATGAATAAAGAATGTTATCATTCTTTTTTTCCTCCTATTCTTTTTTCTTCCGATTTAATTTATTTGGTTAAAACTTTCTGGTTTTTTCTTCCTGGCTGGAATTTCATCTATAATCATCATTTCAAAATCTTATATTGGTTCCGCAAATTTTTCTTACACAAACGAAAGACTTTTTGTTCTTTGCATTCTGCGCGAACGTGATAATCATGAAAATGCTTTTCGACGCGCAAACAAAATTCCGACAATTTTATTTGAATTTCATTTGGAAATAAAAAATATGCGCATGTTAAAAGAACTCTAAAAAAATTAATAAATGAGTAAAATTTTATTTTTATCTTAGCAAAAAATAAAATATGCGTCTTTATATGCATAATATTTTTAGTATGTTTCAGTACTAAAGGGTGACAATCCATAACAATCCATACAAAATTGCAAGACACATCAGATGAAATATGATGTACGTTTGCATCAATTCATTCGTTCGATCTTATAGTGATTGACATATTTGAAACTCCCTGAATTCGTCGACTTTAATAAAGTATTAAAGTTTTAATTATTTGAAGAGGAGGTCAATTCTGAAATTCGTTTTTCTTTGAAAGTGAACGAATGAAAACAAACATTACAGAACGTTACTATATTTAGTAAACCATAACAACCCTTAGGGTAAATTTCTGAAATCATTTTAAGACGAAAATTCTAATACCAAAATTTCGAATTAATAATTTTTTAATTCTAAACATTTAGATATAATACGGAAAATTCAATTCATTTCACCGCACCTAAGCGAACTTTAGATGGTATAATTTGCCAACTTTAAGTATTTATAATTTAAAAACTTATACCTCGACTTTGGTATTAGAATTTTCGTTTCAAAATGATCTCTATATCTGAAATCTATATTCTTAAACGGTCTTTTACAGTCTTTACCGAACACTCTGTACATATGATTTTGTTATACATATATGTATAAAAAATTAAGAGCATATTTATGCGTCCATGAGATAGTTAATTTCTCAAAGCATAGCAGTTATAGGTACCACTTTTCAATAGAAAAGAAATAAGGCTGGGTCAACAAAGACATCAGCTCGAGACGATCACATCTCATGCCGCGCCCAAAAATTATATTCCGCTCGCACCAGTGCTCATTCATCTTTCCCAATCTCTCGTTCTCTCTTTTTTCAAACAGTGTACACTGCGCTATAATCCTAATCATTTATCGATCCAACCGGTTCATTCAATCCTTTCGGTCATTCTTCTCGATTTGGAGAGCATTCACATGATCAAGGTTATCGTCGCATTCGAACTTATTCTATTTCTAATTATGCAAAATATTGCAATCGATCGAGTATAATTAGAAACAGAATTATAAATATTTACATACATATATTAATTATAGATTCATTTTTTGTTTCGTCAAGAATAATTCTTATCGATTTAAGAGTCTTTTTTTTCTATTTTCTAGATAATTATTTATAGAAATTCAAGATATCGTCGATTGATTTTATATTGATATTTCGTAAACAACTTGTTGATTAAATACACGATATTTTATTTTTATGTTATGACTTTTATTATGTACAGTTTATTATGTACAAAATTAATAAAAAGAGAAAACAAGATCAAAAATTAAGTTACCATTTTGGGTTAGAAAATAGAAATTGATTGTGAGATAATGTTCACGTTGATATGTTTTGACAAAATGTGTAAAAACGATCCCATAATAAGATGTATATGATGATGTCTTTTATTCCTCCAAAGAACAGGAAGAGTATGTGGACAGATTATGTATACGAGAGCCGCAGGCTGCGGAAATTAACCACACACAGTATGCTACTGATGAATGCTACTCATTCGTCTTTTACGTTTTATGAGTGATTCATCGTCGCGCGATTCTTCGTAGAGAAATAAATTCACTCGAAAGTGGCATCTACCGTAAAATCATTCAAGAAAATGCTCCTCTTTTATGAAGATTTATTTAAACTATTAATGAAAACCTTAAGTATACCAGATGTGATCGTGTAATGAAAATTCCACGACTATGATAATCGACTAATTCTAAGAAATGAATCATCTCTTTGGTTCACATTCAAAGTTTAAGTTGAAAAAAAATAATGGCAATAAGTAACAAATGATACGATTCCTCCGACAATTTTGTTATCTACCGTTCTACAGAAAACAGAATTGTAAAACACAAGCAATAATTCTAAGATATTTAATTAAATATTTCCTGTTGAAGATTTTTAATATTTCCTACATAGCACAGATTTCCAAATGACGTCAGAGGCCTGTTTTTACAATATGTGGTTACCTAAAGATTAAAGGTTACCAAGAAATTCAATCAATGAAATTTGTTATAAATTTCTTAGTAATCTTTAGGTAATCATCGATTGTAAAAATAGAGTTTAAAGATGTCCAGAAGATGTCTCTTATATCTTCTGAACGTTTTAAAGACGTTTCCAGGATAAAGTGTGCTGCGTGGGTAGTTTCGTCAAGATATACGGAAATACTGATACTTGTTGCATGATAAATATTGAAGGGTGCTTTCATTGTGATGAGTCAGCGATCGTTCCTAGTAACTGATCTATAAAAAAGATCTTTTCTTAAGAATTCTTTAGGTTGTTTCATCTTCGAATAAGCTACGTGTAATTTACCTATTGGATAAACAAAAAAGTAAAAAAGTAAGAGTATAAGAGAGTAAAAGACAGTGAGCTGAAGTTTAACGAAAGGTGAAACAACTCAGCCTTAATTCTGTAAATATTCTATAAATTAAAAGAAAAACGTGTTAAATATGATGATGTCAAATTTTATCGATAGAAAGTTTTTTAAACTCGATCATGTCATCATTTAACAGTTCCCGAGACTTCTATCTCTACACTGATCGTAACCAGTTATGCAAATTAAAATAAAAATCTTACTGTATATCTTACATGAACCTGGGAAATTTTTGTAACCAAAATTCATCTTTCTCAGAATTTCTTGTTATCGTTTCATCTTCTCGCATGTATCGCGCTCGGTTGTCCTTATTATAACGTTAACATGCAGGCTTGCCCTCGAATTGTTGTTGAATAATAAATCATTTCTATGCGAAAATCGTTCGCGCGGCGTAATTATGCACATGCTTCGTATTTCCCTTTCCCGTTTGATTCACATGCGACACGATGGACCATCAGAAAGGTCACTGCGCATCGATGCCAGATAAATCTACAACGCAGATCTCGATGGATGTTTTTGCACCATCTTCCTATTAAACACAATTAATTACCACCATTTACATCCATGACTTTGTATATCCGCGTAATCTCCAATCGTGAAATGAATCATTCAAACTTGACGAATCAAACTTCTCTTGAGATGGAAACTTATTTAATTAATTGGTAACACACGCCTCTAATTTTCGCGGAATACACAATTCCAAGAAGATTTAAAATTCAGAAATAATGGATTTCTGTGTCACTTTCTTCTCACGGAAAATAACGAACAATTTTCTATTGTGATAATTAGATTTAAATCTGAAACACAAACGTCACTCTCTCTTGCCCGAATCAATGCGAATGCACGCTGCTTGGAAAGATATGATAAGTAGTATTTCGAAAAAGCGTGGCTAATCGCATTTCCCTATATATGTATTTTCGTGTGCAAGCAATCATTTCTTATTGTCACGAAAGCACGTGCCTGCGGTTACTTGCAGATTTATACATAATCGAGTGACGGAAGTCGAAATGACTTTGTATACTTACAGCTACGGGAACTCAATATTTACTACTATACATATAATATATATATATATATATATATATATATATATATATATATATATATTCAATGTAA